TTTGTGCAATATTCGAGCTCCGCCTGCCGTCGCAGTAGCACACCAATCCTTCCACTCTTGAGCAACATGTCGCGATTCTCCTCGCTCCGCTAGCTCAAGGTCTTCGGCAATGTGCTGCGCAAAGCTGTCACATATCTCAGGGTCAATAGCCACATCCAGAAAAATCCTCGCTTCATGGACAGCCTGGTCCAGCCTGGCATCTAGACCTTGTCCCGAGCACTCTGACGCAGCCATCGCCGCCACCTCTTCAGCGACTCTCAAACTCATGTTGATATCGTTGGTCGCTGCACGTTGCATCTGAGCAATATGGTTGTGAGCCATCTCCATCCATCTGCTATAAATTTGGCATCAGCAGCGTCCTTCATCGTGTACTCTATCGTCGCCCATCTCGTCTGCAATGGCTTGCCGAAAGCACCGTAGTTCAGCGTGGGACTGCGAGCCGCACCACCAATATTCCTTGCAGCAAGTGACGCGAATAACGCCCAAGCTCTCGACAGAAGGCACCATCCTGTCATCGCCCCAACATTCTCATCACAGCATGCACGTCTTGCAGCATCAGCCACTGTCTTAGCAATGCGCCAGCATGGCGGCGCTGGCTGAGGACCCACAATCTCCTTTTTCCCCAAGGAAGGTACTGCATAATAAACCAACTTCCGCATGCTCGCCGCCGTTCCTTTGAGGTATAGTACGGCAGGTCGATGGGGTCTCTTGGCCCATAACATGTCTGCGCTTACATCAGAGAAGGCCCGATGTGCCGCCGTGTTCAGCGCAAAATAGTCAATCACTGTGTTGCCAGCACCACCACGGCAAGTGACTGCCTTTGACGATCGTATAATCGTGCCACCCAGGGTAGGGAAATTTGATGCATCCAACTCTCCTGGCGGGATATTCCAGTCACCTGCAATGATAACTGGCCTTGTCCAGGCTATTCGCAATCGCACCAACTCTTGCAAGCAACTGTGCATTTTTCCCGCAACCCCTGCACCTGTGAACAAATACAGATTGAACATGTGCAGCTCAACTGGCCAACTCGCTAGATCCACAGCCACATGCTAGATCCGATGTTCCCACACTTGCATCTTGCCAACGGCAGGTGGCCGCAGCCCATGTCCGTCACGAACAAATACTGCTACACCTGCTCCTGGCAGTACTCCTGCAGTAGGGTAGCTTGCCAGAGCCATCATACGCCATCCTCGTCCGTGTGCCCGTGCGGTCAGCGCCTCAAGCTGATCGGCTAGGTGCCCGATCTCCTGGGCCAAAAGGATGTCAGCTGAAACAACTTGCAATCTAGTCTTGAGTGTGTGCTTGCCTCCACTCGTGTTGAAGGTCTCTATCGTGCGCAACACTTCTTGAGCAGTAGCATCTGCTCCCACAGGCCGTGCATGTCCTCTCTCAGCCAATCCACACACTCTGATCGCAACACCACCTGTTCTGGCCGTACTGCTCCTGGGGGGGACGCGACGCTCCGACGCTTTCAGGACACTGGGCACCGCCCGTATGGGCGCTTCGGGTCTGCCCCCTCCCCCCCCCCCCGCACTTGGCGTGCAAACCTCGCCGTCGGTGCCACCATCCTCGTCGGTAAGGCAATCATCGCACATCACAGCTTCAGAAAATGTCGCCGAACTGCTCTTGGGGGGGGGGCGCGCAACGCTCCGACGCTTTCAGGACACTGGGCACCACCCGTATGGGCGCTTCGGGTCTGCCTCCCCCCCCCCCCCCCCCGCTGGCATGAAATCCTCGCCGTCGGTGCACATCCCCACCTCGACAAGGCAACCGTTCAGCCACTCAGATCCAGCTGTCGTCGCCGTACTGCTCCTGGGGGGGACGCGGCGCTCCGACGCTTTCAGGACACTGGGCACCACCCGTATGGGCGCTTCGGGCCTGTCCCCCCATATGGCATGACATCCTCGCCGTCAGTGTAATCATCCACGTCGGCCTTGCAAGCATCCATCATCGTGCTACCCGTGCCGCTGCTTCTTCCGCTGCTGCTCCTCGAAGCTGGAGAACGCCTGCAGGAAAACTTCAACGTCACCTTCTGCTTGCTGGAACAGTGCTCGCTTCTGGCTCTCCGACAGTTTAAGCCCAGGTTCCTCATCAGCATGCATCTCTGCATCATCACCACCATCACCAGCAGCAGGAGCAGCCCCATTAGCAGCAGGAGATTTGGCAAACGCCTTCTGCATATGCTCCCGTAGCTTGGCCCAAGTATCTGATTTGATGAACTCTCGCACCTCAGGTTCGAGCTGCTCTTCCTCAAACTCAAGCTTGACTCCAACGTTGGCTGGGCACTCCGCAGACCGCGGTGGCGCCATCGCTTCGGCACTCCTCTTGAACTCATCATTGAGTGCCTCCACCTCCAGCCTCGTCGCCTCGAGAGCCTCACGCCTCGGCGCTGGGGAAGCCTGCGTCGCCTCGAGCTGGCGCTGCTTCTCCTCCAGCTCCTCCTGCATCTTGCGGTGCTGGTGCTTTGCCTTCTCCAAGGCCTGCTGCGCGCGCCTGTGCACCGCTTGCGGCGGCAGCATAGCCTTGCGTGCATTCTTCGCCTCGTCCAGGTTCTGCTGCATTGTCTTTCGCAGCTCAGCCAGCGATGGGTCGTCACCGAGTGTGGCCAAGCTCTTGTGCAGCTTGCCAATTCTGTCGGCCATCTGCGTGGAGGTTCTGGAACTCTGCTCACGCTCTGCCGACTGTCCTTCACCGTCCGTCTCCATGACATCAGGACTGCGCTCCTCCGAAACTGTTCGGGAAGGGGCGGACGCAGGCCACGGGCGCGGCCCTCCTCCGCTCTTACCTCCTCCAAGCTTCGGCCACAACGAGTCCTTCTCGATCGCTGCCATGAGCTTGTCAACCTTGGCGGACAGCTGCGCAACTGCCGAGGCATCACTTCCCTTGCCCTTGCCCTTGCTCTTGCTGCCACGCCCATCTCCCTTGTCTTTGAGTGCTGCGGCGTGCGCAATGCGTGCTGCCTTGGCAACTCGTTGAGGCGCCGCCTTCCCACATACGCACTGCACTCTGCTGGCCCAGTTGGCCGCCCGCCCGCATGAGCACGCCCACACAGGCTTGCGGGGGCCGAATAGGACCGCCGCCTCCTTCTCCATGCCGCCGTCGCGAGCGGCCTGCACTGAGCAGGCGGTCCTGACCTGGGCTGACAGGCCGCATTCGTGAAGATCTGCCGCGGACTAGCGGTATCCGTTTGGTCCCCTGGGGAACAAAGCATCTTGAGCCAAAATGGCTACGGATCGGATCAGGAGGAGGAGGAGGAGGAGGAGGAGGAGGAGGAGGGAAAATATGGGAAGTGGGGGGGAAGAGAAAAACCAGGAAATATAGGAAAATAGGGGGAATCCTGTTGTTTTTGTTTACTAACTTGTGTGTCCCAGGGCCCCTTCATTGAGGAAATGTGTGTCCGGCCCCCAAGGGCATTTCTCAGGTCGGGGCTCAAGAGACGGGGGTCAATGCAAATGGGGGTCAGTCAGAGCGCCCGATCTGGCAGGATCCTGCAGGGCCAGGGTCGTACGGACCCAGGTTCGGGTGCAGGATCTTGCAGGATCCGGTCTTGCAGGATGTTGCAGGATTCTGCAAGGCCTGACTGACCCGGGTCTGGATTGACCCGGGTCAGAAGATCCCCGGCTCGAGCTGGCGTCCATGGGCAAATTTCCGCACACCTTTCACACAGATCGCGCCAGGGGGGCTGAAAGACATGTTTTCGAATCTCCTGAGACATGGTTATCGAACCGCTCTTTAGCTGGACCCTCATGATGTTTTGTTGTAAATGGTTATCGAACCCTGCGGGACCATTGTTTTGTTGGAAAGGGTTCTTTTGTTGTAGACGGTTATCATATTTTGCGGGGCCCTCTCTCTTTCTTCTCTTTCTCCTGTTTCTCATTGCTATCGAGAATGGGTATCTCTTTTGCTGGACCCTCATTATTTTGTTGTGTGGAATCCCCCATCCCGCGGGTGCTGCGTTTGAGGTCAGGGTTTTTGCTCGGCTTCGCGTGACGCTCCGCCGGTTCTGGCCCACCACGCTTCGGCGCGACACGCTATCCATGTCCCGACTCCCAAGCGCCAACGTCCCGAGCCTTTCCCAGGAGGAGGGAGGAGGGAGGAAGGAAGAGGGAGGAGGGACGAGGGAGGAGGAGTGAAGAGGAAGGAGGAGGAGGGAGGAATATGGAGGAGGGAGGAGGAGGGAGGAGGCAGGAGGGAGGGAGGGAGGGAGGGAGGGAGGGAGGGAGGGAGGAGGGAGGGAGGAGGGAGGGAGGGAGGGAGGGAGGGAGGGAGGGAGGGAGGGAGGGAGGGAGGGAGGAGGAGGAGGGAGGAGGAGGAGGAGGAGGAGGAGGAGGAGGAGGAGGGAGGAGGAGGAGGAGGAGGAGGTAGCCTCCGACCCAACGAGGCGTAGGCCCTCCGGAGGGTCGCCGTAACCAGACGTCCGCCGATCTGATTTTTCAATCCGCGGCCCCAGAGGTCCCGACCCCTTCCCTGGGGGTGGTTCCTCGTCCCGGATCGTACGGACCCTGGCGGCCGAAACCCACGAAAAACCGCCAGATTGGAAAAATCAGGTCCTCGGATCCTTGTGCACCCCTGCGTGGCGCACCCGGGGCCCGTCGGCCGACACGCGCGGTCCCTGCGTCCGCGAGCTTGGCACGTGCAGGCACGTGCCACGAGCCTCGCGAGGCCGAGGAGCCCATGGCCGTCGGCCGGCACGCCAGGCCCCGGCGGCCACGAGCCTCAGGAGGTGGGCGCCCGCCGGGGCTGCGGATCGGTGCGGGGGTGATCGGGCCGAACGAAAGGGGGGGATTGGGAAAGGGGGGCTTACGAAGTCTGCTGCATGCAGCTGGTTTTGGGCCCCACCGAGGGGCCCATTCCTCGATACATAGGCGCCTCTCGGCGCGGGGAGGCGCCGGGAAAATCAGCTACGTGAGCTGATTCTCAAACCCCCCCTTCGCTATCCCCCCCTTTCGCCCAGCCCGAGAGGGGCTTATGGGGGCGAGCGCGGGGCCCGCCCGGAGGCCGAGGAGCCCGGCATCACCAGGCTCGAGAGGCTCGCGCAGCCAGTGGACCACATGGGCGCCGGTCTGTCCAAGGCGAGCCTCCTGTCAGCAGCACGCGCGGAGTCGAGGTCGTCGTCGCCGCCGCCGTCGTCGTGGCCGCCGCCGCCGCCGCCGTCGTCGTCGTCGTCATCTGCCGCCCCCGCCCGCGCCTTCGTCGCCGTATGGAGCAGGAGGAGGAGGAGGCGGAGGAGGTGAAGGTGGAGGAGGAGGAAGAGGAGGAGGAGGAGGCTGGAGACCTAACGCGTTTCTTTTCCTGCTTCACTTGTGAGGGACGTCGCAGCACAGGCGAGCCTGCGACATCACAGCATAGCGTCACGAACACAGCACGCCCATCTCTGCGCTCTGCGCAGCACAGTGAGCGTTTACGGCACGCCAGGTCCTGCCACGCGCGCCACGCCACAACGGATCGCTACACAACATGCCACATCGCGTTCACGGTTGGAAAAGCGCTCATCTTGGGTAGGGTGGGGGCGTTCGTTAAGGAATCAGCCCAGGAGGCTTCAGACCCTGGATGATTCCTTATCTGAAGAGGGCGGTGGTGATATCCGTAAGGGCTTCGCCCCTGCCGCCGGCCCCCTCTCTATCAGAACGGGGTATATCAGAGTCGCGTCGGTGCGTCTCGGCGCTGCCTTGGCGCATCTGGGAACACCATGCGGGGCGGATAGGAATCATCACCGCATATTGAGACGTTGGCGTTATCGAAGTCGCCTGTGGCGAATCACCGCCTCCCCCTGCCTTTTTGGAAGCGCCTGCGTGGCCGAAAGTTGGGTTTGAGCTTGGCGAAGCTATCGGGCCACGCGTTCCCCGAGTGGGTTTCGAACGCCTTCGGGGAACACGGAGTCAGGCAAGCTATCGGACCAGGTGGTTTCCGAGTTTTCGGGCCTCCTGGAGGACGTCTTGGAGGTCTCTTGGGCAGTCTTGGAGGCCTCTTGCGGTCCTTTTGGACAGTCTAAGGCCATCTTCAGGCCATCTGGGGCCGTCTTGGGTGCATCCTGGGGCCATCTTCGCCGTCTTGGAGGCCTTCTTGGCCGTCTTGGAGGCCTTCTTGGCCGTCTTGGAGACATCTTGGAGGCCATCTTGGGCGTCTTGGGGGCCATCTTGGGCCGTCTTGGGCTCTTCTTGGAGCCCTCTTGGGACCTCTTGGGCTGTCATGGGGCCATCTTGGAGGCCTCTTGGGGGCTCTTGGGACGATGTTGGGGGCCTCTTGGGCCGTCTTGGGCCGTCGGAGAGCTGATAAGAAGAAAGTGCAAACATCCTTCAAATACCTAAGGACAATCAATGAGTTTTGCCCGTTCGGGCCTTCCTGGAGGACGTCTTGGAGGCCTCTTGGGGGCCTCTTGGCCAGTCTTAGGCCATCTTGGAGCCATCTTGGGCCGTCTTGGAGGCTTCTTGGGCGAACTTAAAAGGCATCTTGGACTCTCTCGGGCCGTCTTGAAAGCCATCTTGGACCATCTTTGGCGACTTGGAGGTCATCTTGGAGGCCATCTTGGGCCAACATGACCATCTTGGAGGCCATCTTGAGCCGGCTTGGGGAATTGTTTTGCGGCCGTTGAGGTGGTTTCCGGGACCCTGGCGGGATCGGCCGAAGCCCCAGGGGGAGTTCTTTTGGAAAGTAAGCAAAACCAAAATCGAAAGGATCTAGCACGCAGGGCACCGCGCACCCCTGTGGCAAGCCAACAGGAGGCGGCGGATCGAACGCGCCTACGGCGAATCACCGCCGCTCCTTGCTCTTTCGGAATCGCTTATGTGGGAAGTACTTCTGTGACGAATCGTTGGGCTCCCTGCCCTTTTGGAAACGCCTGTGTGGCCAAGAGTTGGGCTTGAGCTTGGCCAAGCTGTCGGATCATGTGTTCTCCGAGACGGTTTGGAAAGCTTTCGGGGAACACGTGGGTGAGAATGCACATGAAAAGGACGAGGAAGAGGCCTCTTGGGCCGTCTTGAGCCGTCGGAATGGCGAGAAGAAACAAATGCCAACATCCTTCAAACGTTTAGGGAAAATGAATGATTTGGGTCTCCTCGGGCCCTCCTGGAGGACCTCTTGGAGGCCTCTTTGGCCGTCTTGGAGGCCTCTTGGGCCGTCTTGGGCGATATTGACGCCATGTTAGGCCGTCTTGGAGGCATCTTGGGCCGTCTAGGAGGCATCTTCGGGGGCGAAGGTATCGGACCATGAATTCCCCGAGTCGGTTTGGAAAACGTTCGGGGAACACGTGGGGGAGGAAGAGGATGTGAAGAGGAGGAGAAGGAAAACGGAGAAGGGGGAGGATGCCTCTTCGGAGCCTCTTGAGGCACTCTTGGCTCGATTGGGCCACCTTGGGATCGTCTTGGAGGCCATGTTGGGGCTATCTTGGGCTCTCTTGGGGCCTCTTGTGGGCCTCTTGGGGCCCTTTTGGGGCTTCTCGGGGGCCTCTTTGGCCGTCTTATGGCGTTCCTGGCCCGTCTGACGCCGTCGGGAGCCGTCTTGGGGGCCTCTCTGAACCGACTTGGGGTCCTCTTGGGGCGCTTCGAGGCCGTCTTGGAGGCCATCTTGGGCGTCTTGGAGGTCTCTTGGGCCGTCTTGGGGCCCTCTTGGGGCTGTCTTGGAGGCCTCTTGGACCGTCATGGGGCCCTCTTGGAGGCCTCTTGGGCAATCTTGGGGCGATCTTGGGGGCCTCTTGGGCCGTCTTGAGCCGTCGGAATGCCGAGAAGAAGCGAATACCAAAATCCTTCAAAGACCTAAGGAACAATTAATGATTTTGGCCTCTTCGGGCCCCTCTGGAGGACCTCTTGGAGGCCTCTTGGGCCGTCTTGGAGGCCTCTGGGGGACCTCTTGGGCCGTCTTGGGCCGTCTTGGACTCTCTTGGGCCGTCTTGGAGGTCGTCTTGGACCATCTTGGGCGACCTTGGAGGCCATCTTGGACCATCTTGGAGGCCATCTTGGGCCAACGTGGCCATCTTGGCGCCATCGTGAGCCATCTTGGAGGATGTTTTCCCGGATTGAACACCTTCCCGGGAACCCGGCGGGACGCGCCCGAGGCCCAGGGGGAGTTTTTTGGGGGGAAAAGAACCAAAACCGAAACCGAGGGGATCTAGCACGCCAGGCACCCTTTTGATGAATCAACAATGGGCGGCGGATCGAAGACGCCTACGGCGAATCACCGCCGCCCCTTGCCTTCTAGAATCGCCCATGTGGCCGAGCGTTGTGGCAAGAGCTCTTCCAAGCTATCGGACCATGTGTTCCCCCAGCCGTTGTGGAAACCCTTCGGGGAACACGTGGGGGAGGCTCGCGGGGAAGATCAGGAGGAGGCAAAGGAGGAGGTAGAGGAGGAGGAGGTGGAGGAGAAGGAGGAGACGGAGGAGGAGGGGGCATCTTGGGAGCCTCTGGGGACACTCTTGGAGCCTCCTGGGAGCTTCCTTGGAGCCTCTCGGAGGCATCTTGGGCGCCCTCTTGGAGGCCTCTTGGGGGCCTTCGGAGGCTTCTCGGGGGCCTCTTTGGTCATCTTGGTGGGCTTCTAGCCCGTCTGACGCCGTCGGAAACCGTTTGGGGGGCCACTCTGGGCCGACTTGGGGCCCTCTTGGGGTGCTCCAGGGCCGTCTTGGAGGCCATCTTGGGCGTCTTGGACTCCTGAGCCGTCTTGGGGCCCGTCTTGGAGGCCTCTTGGGCTGCTCTGGGGCCATTCTGGAGGCCTCTTGGGCGATCTTGGGTCGATATTTGGGGGCTCTTGGGCCGTCTCGGGCCGTCGGAAGGCCGAAAAGAAGCAATTGCCAAAATCCTTCAACAACCTGTTGAAAATCAATGATTTTGGCATTTTGGCCTCTTTGGACCTTTCTGGGGGCTTTCTTGGAGGCCTCTTGGGCTCTCTTGGAGGACTTGCCTGGATACCCACTTTGAGGGTCAAACATAAATCAGCAGCTGTCTGAGGCCCGCGCGGATTTCTCGGATCGGCGCTGGGCCATCGGTGGCGGCGGAGGGGGGCCCAACGCAGATCCAGGAAATCCGCGACGACCTCCGAAAGTTAGTACTCCTATGCACTTGTTTCTTTCCAGGTAAGAGAGCGCTCGGGGCAGATAGCAGGAGAGGGCGAGAGCGGGGCGGGGGGGGCATTCCTACAGGTGACCCTGGCTGACATCCTCGCGCAGTGGGAAGATCCACACGGAGAGTGTGTTACACTTTTCGGCTTCTGGGGACTCTCACCAGACGGCGAGACCGAGAAGAAACGGCTCGGGATGACAAACGGGCCAACAGGAAGGCGTCCAGACCTTTGGTGGCGATCCGCGCCGTGAAGCAGAACATCGGCGTCCAGGAGCACTGGGCGGAGAGGTGACAGGCGGAGGTGCAGCCAACCGTTAGCGGGAGGGGGGCAGCAGCAGCTGGGCTGAGCGAGAAGTCGGAGGGCAGAGCAGGCGCGCGCGCGCGAGCGCGCGCGTGCCCGCGGTGGGCGGCGAGGCGGGGCGTGAGGAGGGGCGGCGGCAGCGGCGCTCCCGGCAGGCGGACCTCAAGAGCCTCGTGGAGCACGGCATCCACTGCGTGGGGGGCCCAGGGCGCCCCCCGCTGCCCTCTCCCCGAGCACGACGCGCCTCGAACGGAGTCGAGGTGTCGGGTGCATGGCCTTTTTGGGCCTGCGTGGCCCGGTTGCGTAGCAACACTGCTCGGGAGGAGGCGGGGGAGGTAGGGAGGGAGGGGGGTAGGCAGGGAGGGAGGGCAGGAGGGGGGAGGCGGTGGAGGGGGGAGGAGGGAGGCCCGAGGGAGGGAGGAAGGGAGGGGGAGGAAGGGAAGATGCGGAGGACGGGGGAGGAGGAGGAGGAGGAGGAGGAGGAGAAAGGGGAGGAGGAGAAAGGACGAGAATGGGGAGGAGGAGGAGGAGGAGGAGGTGGAGGAGGAGGAGGAGGAGGAACTGGAGGAGGAGGAGGAACAGGAGGAGGAGGAGGAGGAGGAGGAAGAATTGGAGGAGGACTTGTGTAAACCCAAGATACCAACGACTTTAGAATAAATTCTCCCTCCAAGCTCCCTCTTCACAGGCCCCTACGACGGTTCATCTCCACTGAGGGAACTGCCTCGTCGGAAGACATACGCTTGACGATTCTGAAGCATGCCAAAACACTGTTCTCGGGATTCCAACGCCACGGATCAATCTGACTGTTGCGTCTTGACGAGCCTGAACCGTGCCAGAACACCATTCCTGGGACTTCAGCAGTGCACCCGTATAATCCTGAATCTGTCCAAAACACCGTTCTTGGTACGTTGATCATGGGATCCCAGGAAACTCTTGTAAATTGTTTGAACGAGTGTGTACGGCGCTAAAACAAGAGTCACATTTTTCAAAAGGAACCGCCCTCAGTCTGTGAAGCTCTTACAATTTTGAGAAAAAGCGAATGCACGCGGCGCTAAGGCGAGAGCCACAGGTTGAAGGCCACCCGCCGTCAATCCGTGAAATTCTTGCAAATTGTTGAAACGAATGTGCGCGGCGCTAAGGCGAGAGCCACAGTTTGAAAAGGAGCCGCCCTCCATCTGCGAAGCTGTTGCCAATGGATAAGCTTCAGGGTCATGAGTGGTGAGGAAGTCTCAGACGAAACGCCCGGCCCGCCCTAAAAGCTGGCCTCGGGGTGCGACAGGGGGAAGTTATCAATAAGGAAAAGTGATGTAAGAGGAAGAGGAGGAAGAGGAAGGAGGAGGAGGAGAAGGGTATGCTGCGTCGCTCTTCCCTCGCCGCGCTTTAAAACAGGACGCCCTCGCGCGCGCCATGGCCGCCAGCCGCCGCGCCCGTTCTGTGGCTGGGAGGTCTGGTGTGCCAGTCCAAGGCTCCAGGGCCCACGTCCTCCTCCTGCTTCCCTCCTCATTGCGCTCCTTGTCATCCCTCCTCATCCTTCCTTCCCCCCTTTCCTCTGCTCTCTGTCTATCCTGTTGTGGGTCGATCCGTCGATGGGGTAATGGCGCTTCTTACCAGTGTCGAATCCGAAGTCCTTTCTCCGCCTCCTTATCCTTGTTCTCTCCTCCTCCTCCGCCTTCGCCTCCACCTCCTTCCACCTCCTTCCTCCTCCCTCCTCCCTCACCTTTCGTATTCCTAGTCGCCCGCATCCTTTGTTCTTCCCCCCGTCCTCCGCCTCCTCCTCCTCCGCCTTCGCCTTCTCCTTGCTTGCGTCATTCCAGATGGTTTAGGATGGGCTTGGTCCGGCGCGTGCTCGGCGTCGCCCCAGCACGGTCGCCGAGGTGGAGACCATCGCTTTCATGCCGATGCGGAAGCTGCTGGACGTCCAGGGCATCGGAGAGGCGAAGGCCACCGCCGTGAGGCTTGAGAAAGCAAGGGGTACCAATGACACGCGCGTCTTCTGGCAAATTTTGCGTGTGGCTCATTCGCCGTTTGCGCAGAAGCCTGGTACCTCGGCAGTAACGCGGTGATAGGGGTCGTTCCAGGGATTTTTGTCCAGCCCTCCTGCGCTGGGTTTCGTCTTGAACAGAGCACTGCGGTCGCGACCTCCTCCTCGCGCTTCCCTCCTCTCCTCTCTTGCCCTCTACTTGCTATGCGCCTGCCTGCCAGCCTGCCTCTTACATCGCCGTCCAGTGTCACCTCGCCATCCCTGGGGGGCTGCGAACTGCGAAACTATCGCCACTATCAAAGGTTGCTGGGGGGGGTGGGGCAGCGGAGTGGCGTCATACGCAGACTCAGATTCGACCCCACCATCCTTGGAGGGCTGCGATCTGCGAAAGCGTCGCCACTTTGGAGGGCTGTTGCGGGGTCCAGCGGAGTGAGGCCACGCCGCACATTCAGATCAGACCTGGCCATCCCTGGGGGGGGGGGCGCGAAGTTTGCAACTGTCGCCAAGTTCAAAGTCTTGTGGAGGGTTCCGCGGAGTAAAGCTCCGCATCATATTCAAATTCGACCTCGCCATTCTTGGGGGGCGGCGACGTGTGAAACTGTCGCCACTTTCGAGTGCTGTTCGTGGGTCCATCGGAGTGACGTCCCCCGCGGACCTGAATTAGACCTCGCCGTCCTTGGGGGGCTGTGATCTTCGAAATTGTCGGAGCATGCGGGGGCTGCTGGGAGGTCCAGCGGAGTGACGTCCCTCGCGGACCCAAATGAAACCTCGCCATTCTTGGGGGGCTGCGATCTGCGCAACTGTCGCCAAGTTCGAAGCTGCTGGGGGGTCCAGCGGAGTGACGTCCCGCGGGTCCCGAGGACCTGGCGGCGCGCCTGCGGGCGTTTCGTTCCCGCGCCGCATCGTGCAGGAAGGGAACGGAGACGTTGGTATGCGAGGTCGGCCTCGCTCGCTTCTTGCACTGGCTATGAACAGCTGACCCTTCGGAACGCCAGAGCATCATGGCGCGGGCCGCGCTGCTTGTCCAGCGTGCCACTGGAAAGTGACCGCCGCCCTCTTTCCTATATTGTTTTTTGGTGTTGTCCTCGTCCTGCGTCGCCGTCTCACCGCTGCTATCGCGTTAATTGTTCGGCCCCCCATTCCGTCCTTTTTCCGCCCTCCGTTCCCACCCCCATTTCTTCTCCGAGCCCGTGGCCCCAATCCTCGTTTTACTTTTTGCTGTCCTGTGAGTCGCGCAACGCGCGCGCTTCCCAAGTAGTTTGCGCAACGCGTGTCAGATCCTGCGTTGCCATCTGCCAAACTACTATGTTTGGCCATATTTTGTTGACATTGAATGCATAGGGGTTGGGCACGTCGCGGGATAACGCCTCCCTGACGCCCGGGCCCGCTTGTTTGAGTATCGGCCGACGGCTGAAGCGGTCCAAACATGGTCTTCGAATTTGAGGGGGCCCGAAGCGTCGGCATCTTTTCTTCGCCAGGAGGGCGGCGGAAACGGGCGGACGTAAAGCGGGGGCGGCGCCGCCGGCCGAAGGCTGGCGAACGTATCGAATGCGCTTTGAATGGGTACCCACAGTCGTGGGCTAAGGATTCCCAGAACGGGCCAGCAGCTTAAATGCTGGGACTGCTCGAGCCATGGTGGTTCGTGGATTTGATGTCCGTACTTAAACGCAGTTTCCGTAAGTACACTCATACCACGCTTGCGTCCGAACAGCATGTTGGGACCTGCGAGGATTGAGTGTTGCATCTACATGCAGGCGGTTCCGGGGGGGGGCGGCGGATTCCAGCGGTTTTCGATGCAGATGTTTAAGCCCTGTCGCACTCCCCCAACACCCTTGACGCACCTGAAGCTTGCGCGCACGTGCGCGCGCAACTGTCGGCGGGACCGCGCTGTGGCCCGCACTTCGAATCGCAGCTCAAATCGTTCCGTCGCGAGGAGTCACTGTCATAGCACCCCAGTGATGCCAAAAGGTCACGTCGGACGAGGTGTCACTGCGCATCCCGCCGAGGCCAAGAGGATAATGACCGCCGCCAAAAAGCTCGTGCCCATGCGGATGGTCAGCGCGGCGGAGATGCTGGCGATCAGGCGTAGCGGGGTGAATAAGAGGCGGGGTCCAGATCGAAGGCATGGCAAGCAAGCTCGGGTCTGGAGGAGGAGGAAGAGGAGGAGGAGGAGGAGGCAGGAGGGAGAGAGTTTGTGAAAATAGCGGTGGCGGCGTGGAAGAAGCACCGGAGAGTCGGGGGTGATGGGAGAGGGGAACAAGGAGGGATGCCAAGATCAAGTCGGGCGTGTCCCATCTACAGGAGGAACATCCAAAATATTTTTACAGTAGCTTGGGGACGATTTTTCTGTTATTCGTTTGACCAGTTTGATATATTCTTGGAGTATTTCTTATGTTCCCTCGAAAATCCGCCTGTAGCCAGGAGGTAGAAACGAAGGGATAGGGTGAGGAATGATTGGGAAGCAGAAGGAAAGCGAGGTGAGAGGATAGAACGAAGAAGGGGCGGAGGGATGGAGAGGGAGGAAGGAAAATGGACCGACATGCAAGGAACGAGGGTTAGTCGGGACGAAGGGAGAGATTGGAGGGATCAGATGATGCCGGATCAGGAAGAACATGATACAGCTCTCCACCGGTTCCGCGCAGCTCGACGGGTTGTTGGATGGCGGCGTCGAGACGGGGCAGATCACGGACATCAACGCTGTTTGGGGGAGGGACACACAACATTTTAGACAACCCATTTTGGTTTCGGTATTTCCCGTTCCTTTTATTGCTGTCCCCTCGTCTTCCGCTGTTTACCTCACTCCTCGGCTTCACACATATTCGACCGCACCGTTCACCTAGCGCTATGTACTCTCGAGAGTTGGCGGCCATACGCAGATACTAGGTGCGCCAAGGTCCTGGGTTGAATACATGCACGTTTGTTTTAGTTGCTGCCAACATTGCGCAGCTCATATGTGTCCTGAGCTTTTTTGGGGTCGAGTTGCTGGAAGGAATATCGTATGGTGACAACTGGTGGGGGTAGAGGGGGGAGGGAGCGAGAGAGTGAGTTGGGAGTTGGGAGGGAGCAGGCCCCCAGCTTGCAGGGTGAATTTCTCCGAGCAGCAAAGGCAAGCGATCCTCAGGTTTATCGTCTTGGGCCAGGAATGTTTGTTCTAACTCAGGGCCAGGGGTGTAGTACTTGCCACGCCTTTCCTGGGCCCTGGATCAAGTGGGAGGAGGAGCAGCGATAATGATGACGATGGCGATGTCGATGATGATGGTGTTGTTGTTGATGATGATGATGACGATGATGATGATGATGATGATGATGATGAGGATGAGGATGAGGATGATGATAATGCTGATGATGGTGATTCTGACGGTGATGATGATGAGCTGTGTAATAGGCTCAACGGGCTGGGTTATAGATGTGGAGCATCGCGAATATCTCGCCAGCGTCTGGCTCAATGGGCCAGCGTCCTGTGTGCATGGGCTGCGTGTGGATTCGGCAGCTCACTATCGCACTCAAAACATGTTCTGACCAGTTTTTTTTGAAACTGTCCCATCCTGCATATTGTTGCCAACCTTTTTACCACATGGTTACCATCCGAGTTTTGACTTGGAAGTGGAACTGGCCCCAGTAAGTTGTGGTCAGCTCTGTTTATCGCAATTCTACTCCACGGCACGGCTTGGTATGCCGCCAACACCACTGCGACGTCAGAGCGTGACTCCTGGCAAGCAGGCAGAATCGCCCGTAGCGGAAACGTTTTTCCCTCAATGGGCAAGATCCGTTTGACCGTTCCGAAAATCGTATACGCCACGGCTCTACGCCAGTACACCCCAAACTACAACGAGTTTGGGAACAAGGGTACGTGCCAACTACCTCTGCGCGGAATCGCAAACCCCATATCCTTAAACCAACATGGGACTACGCCTGCACAGCCGATTCGCCAATTTACGTCGACATACACCCCAAACACAAGCAACGACAGCATTTACGACCCAATATGGAAGCAACACTTGTGGCATTGTGTGGCTAATCGTCGATTGCGCGATTGGTTACATGCAGCGCGGTAGCCATAATGACGGAGGCGATAACATAACACGGGCCCGTACTGTGATCCCTCAGGCAACGTATTGCTCCTCTCATTTACTCGTGAACTACAGGCGTGCCTTAACGTCGCAAGTGCCCGCGTGACTCCACAAAAACAGGCTGCATGCCTACAGCGTGGCCCGCGAGGGATGGCACGCGCAATAGCGATGCGAATCCCACCCCAGATAATCAGCTACGGCGTGACAATACATGGGGTCCACGCGGACCCGGCCACGTGCATGATGTTTCTCCTGGGCGCCAAATGCGAGAGCCTTGAGGATGAGCGGCAGCCCACCGCAGGAACGGCGCTAATCGATTGCAGGCCCGAACTGGGCGAGAGAACGGACTCGATCTTCGCGAGGTTCGAGGTGGTGCGCCTGGAACCCGATTCGGTAGTCTTTGCAATTTCGAATTTCCAGCTACCCACGACAGCGCTCTTCAAAGCGCGATGCTTCAGCCACTGAATGGATATGCGCCGCGGACCCAGCAGCAATGCGATGAGTTACTTGGCCGCGCGCGCAGCTTCGGCCACTCGGCTGAGCGCGCAACCGGCAACGTCGGCAACGTGCTGTTGGAACTAGAGGGCGCGGAAGCGCGAACACCTATGCGACGTGCGCCGGCGGAGACGCGGCCGCGCGCATGAACGCGTGGCTGGCGACCCCCATGACCCAGCGGGGTCCACAACATTACTGGCCACGACGCCTCGGGGCCAAGGAACCGGCAGATTCCGCCCAACAGCATCATCCCAACAAGCTTGGGGGCAGCCATTTAACCCCGCATCTCACGCTGCTGCTGAAAGTCAAACCGCCCTATTGGGCTCAGCCCCACGCGGGGGCTCGCCTGTCGATTCCGGCACGGACGCCGACGAGCTATCATCGGGTGGGAACGAGCGCATAGACATGTCGGGCTCACCCCGCTGACTTGGCGATGCGGAACCGTTGGGCACTTATTTCCACGACGCCGGCGCGCGAAGCGTCGGTGGAGAAGGTTCATCGAGAAACCTATGCGACGCGCGCGGAGCCGTTCGAAGGGCATTTCACCGACGGGGAAGGGGGGGGGGTAAGGGTGGCCCCCGCAAGCGACGGCTACATGGCAAAGGGCTCGCAACGCCTTTATCGGAATTTACGGATGCCGATTATGAGGGGGGCTTTCTGGGGAAAGGGTCGGGGCCGACGCCGCGCCATTGGCAAAGGGGGAAGTCGAAAGCGTGGCCCCGTGGACCGAAACGGGAGGAGGATGCCGCGCAACCGTCGCAGTAGTGCTGAGCATTTTCAGAACCAGTGTGATGCGGAGAGGATGGGGGAGGGGGGCGGCGCTGCCCCTTTGACGGCTCACGACACCATTGAAGACGTAGAGTGCGTCGATTGGCCCGCGCTTGATCTCCCTTCCGCGGGGGCGCCCCGCGCGCGCGTTTACTTTCGGCGCGAATTGATGAGCCGCGCGCTGACTGACTTCGCCCCCGATCTCCCGGACGGCGACTTTGGGGGCGCGCCGCTTTGGGGGGGGGCATCTCCGAAGCCGAGGGCGCTCCCGCCACGCGGGAGGGGCCGCGCGCCGCGGGCTTGCCCAACCCTGCGGAAACGCTCGCGAACGAAGAAGCAGACGCGCTCATGGCCCCTTGCCAGCACTAAATTGCGCGGAGACATGCTGAGGCATCGGACTGGCTTCGCCAGCGGGGTTCCGCTCGACGATCTCATCGACGTCGGCTGGGGCCTGTCCAACTCCGACGTGGCCGTGGCTTCCCGTGCCCCTCGAGCCCGCTCGCGGGCCTCTGTAGGGGCGCCGTGGAACTGGGGTGGCCCAGCGCCTGGGCCCCCATCTATCTTTTCAGGAAATGGATCATTGGTGTCGCAGGGGCCGGGCCCCCGAGCAGGTGCGCCACAGTGCTCTAAGCAAAGGCTTCTTCGTAGCGAAGGTGGAAAGACCGCCCGATTCTCGGCGGGGCACCGCGCCCGCGGGCGCGAGGAACAACGAAACGCCAAGCGGGGGCGCACTGTTCTGCGCGACGACCAACGGATCTGCGACTGCTACCGGCACCGGGAAGACAGGCCCAACTGCCCGATTGACAGGGGCAACCGATCCCCCAACCGCGAAGTCACGCTGTGTTTGCCACGCCGCGGGGGCGGTGTCGACGAGACCAGGGGGGCGGCATCGGAAACTGACCGCGTCCCCTACAGCGACCGGGATCACGCTGCGATCGCCCAGGCATGGGCGGGCCTCTCCACCAAGCACGAACGCAAACGCAACAACAGAAATTTCCACGATAGTGGCCAGGGAGATGCCGGAAACGCTGAAGAAGATTGGAACGGAGAAGCCGACGGAGACAGGGGCGGAAACGCGACCAGAGTTGCCGCCGCTGCTGCTGCTCCATCTTCGGGCGCCGCGCCAACGACGTCACCCGGCCCGCCGGGCTCGGCCGTCAGAAATGCCAGCCGGGGCGGGGCGCGCGCCGGCAGGGGGGGTGGCGCGGGCAAGCGCGCTAAGGGTGCAGGAGCGCCTGTCGAGCCAGCGCCGACCCCCTCGCAATCCGACCGCTCCGTCAGCGCCGAAGGCTCCGAGTCTGAAGCCGCATCGCCGCGGGGCCCATGGGCGAGGGGGGCGCCCTGTCAGAGGAGGCCCCCATGCCCGCCTCGAAGCACAAGGCCAGGTCGGCCGCTTCAGGCGCAGCGAAGGGGAAGGCCACCTCGCCGACTACACCAGAGGCCCCTCCGCCTGGCATTCGGGAATCTCGGGGGCCCCCCAAGTGGCCTTGGGAACTCCCTTGCACCGCAGCAGCCGGTGGCTGCCCACTCTCCCGAATCTCAAGGTCACGGGGGCTGGGCGCCTTCATTGAGGCCCGCAATTGCCCGGAGCAAAGGCCCGAACAAGAAAGCAGCAGCAGCTGCTGGGGCCTCGTCCTCGGTCGCTGCGAGCGCCCCTCCTGAGGCGCCCGCTCCGCGCCCTGGAGCAGATAGCCGCGGCCCCCGCCGTCGCGCCGCCAATCCCGCCGACGCGGGGGGAGACGAGGGCGGCAGCGTGCCCGGAGAAGGCAAGGGCGGAAACGCCGCGGGGGGGGGGGGGGGGGGGGGAGTGCGCCGCGGAAGCGCATCGCGCGCGGCATGGGCGACGACGCGCCCGCGACCGACGCCGAAGGGTTCTTCGTCTCTACGCGCAACGCCGCGCGCCGAAGGCGACGACGACGCCGAGAGGGGCCGACAGCGGACGCGCAACATGCACCGACAGAAGCCCCCCCTGAGGCTCATCAGGGAGGGCAGGCCGCTCATGGGGAGCTGCTTGTGGCCCCTTCCCGGCCGCGACGAGTTCATGGTAATTCTCAGAAGTCCCCTTGCCCTCAGACGCTCGGTTGCCCCCGGGGCGAGGATCGACGGGGCGAGATGTTCCCGCGTAAGATGTCGTGGGCGGCTGGGCCATGGTGACCGATATCTCGGCGCGCCAGAGCGGGGGCAAAGGCCGCCCGACCGCCGCTGAAGAAGAAGAAAAAAAAAAAAAAAAAAAAAAAAAAAAAAAAAAAAAAAAAAAAAAAAAAAAAAAAAAAAAAAAAAAAAAAAAAAAAAAAAAAAAAAAAAAAAAAAAAAAAAAAAAAAAAAAAAAAAAAAAAAAAAACAACACAACACACACACACACACACACACACACACACACACACACACACACACACACACACACACACACACACACACACACGGACCCAGGCGACAATACATGGACTACGTCACCTTTGTACCCATGATTTTTGCCGAGGTGGTGGGCCGTCCTTGCGAGCAGAGAGAACGCCTCGAGTTTGTGGAGATCTACTGCGGAGACGCAAACAGCGAGAGGCTGCGCATTACCTCGGAGGACCAAGGGCTGCAAATTCGGGCCACCAACGGCCGCGGCCGACCGGGCGTTCAAGGCCTGGAGAGCCACTATCGCCACGTG